ACAGAGACTGATCACAGCTCGCTAACGCTGAGCACAATGACAGCAGGTCACACAGCAGCAACTGTCTCCTGTCTCTGCATGAGTCTGTGTGCGTGTGTGTGTGCGTGTGTGTGTCTAAAATAGTGTGTGAAACACCACGTATGTTACCCACAATGACAACATATGAGTCATCGGATTTACATTGTTTGGTGACTTGTTTAAACAAATAAAAAAAAATAAAAAACTTTGACAGCACTTTCTTTTTTGTACAGTGGTGACTGTAAAAGTGAAGTTAAATGCTCAGTGTTCATTTTCATTTAATCAAAAATGTGTCAAATGACTAATTTGTTGAATTAGAGCCACTAAAACAAATGAATCCAAGACCTGTCCTTTTAGATAACTTGAGCTGGTGCTAAAAGTGGTTAGCTTCAACTAGCTAGTGTCAACGGATGCTTTTTTCTGAACCCAAACAATGTGGTGCAAACTAAAGTTGTTAACAAAGCCGAGAAGCCACCGAACTAAACTTCAGTTACTGAGGATGAACTCTGGTGTTTGAACCACTTTGACATGATTGTCTCAGAGGAGTTGACGAGGGAGAGGGTGGGCCCCAGAGGCCATCTTAGCACCAGTAAACTGTTTTTGTTTTTCCACTATGGAGTATGCTGTTTGTGGGAATCAGTTTTGTTTGGTGGCTTCTTAGATTGAGGAAGTCCTTTGGATGAAGGACGAAACGTCTCAGCAAAAAAACAAAAAGAAACCGTCCAGATGACCTGACTGAACATTGTTGGATTTTATACCTGGATTATTGAGCATGAACTTTGGTGTCCTAACTTTTTATTACCACGCTCCAAGCGAATGTCCAGTCAGGCCTGATTTGGACCAGTATTTGGTCAACCCAACCTTCGACCCAAAATCTTTAACCCAGCAGCTTTTAGTGTGTGAGAAAATCAACAAGCTAACATAACTGATGAATCTTTTGCTTCATGTTCAGTTAACAGAAATGTTTACGGTTGGCGTCTCCTCTGAAAATGAATGAAATGTCCTCTAAAGTGATGTAAACATGACAGTGTGTGTGATGAGCTGTCAGGGAGGATCTGGTGAGAGTGGGCTAATTGGAGTTAATTCACCATCTGTCTGTGTGAGCCAGCAGACAGGGTCATTAGCAGACACAAGTCCAGCCACGGGGGAGGCCGAGAGGGGTCTCACCATCCCTCACCTCCTTTCCTCCTGCCTTTTAGTTTTGGTTCCCTTCCTGTCAGATCCAAAAGCTTCTCTCGTCTCTTATCTCGCAAAGATTTGACATCCCTGATGTAAAATGTGTCTCAGATTTGCATGAGTAAATGTTAAATTCTGTGAGTTTTGCTTGTGTAACAAAAAGGGGAAAATGTTCTGAAGGATTGATGCCTGAATAGTGGTGAAGCTCCTGGTTTTATAACAACCATCTTTTGTTTTAGTTATTTTTATTTCAGAGCAGTGCTGCCCTCTGCTGGGCACATCTTACAGCTGTAAGGAAGTCAAGGTTTAACTCATTTATAGAAGTTAAAACGCAAGTCCAAAACTAAACAGCATTTTTCAGCTCAGGAAAAAATAACAACAATAAGGTCTGCAGTTTGTAAAGTTAATCATACATTCAGATTCAACAACTGCCAAAGCAACTAATGCCTTAATAATAAAGTTTGATCAAGAAAGTGATAAAAACAGCATTTTGGCTGACAACATGCTGACAATAACTGTATCTTTAAATGATTTATTCCTAATAATTGTTTTATTTCTGTGTAGTTGTGTTAACAAACATGTTTTTACTACTATATTTTAGTTTAAACAGTTTATTTCACTGAGTGTCACATTATATTTTATGATCTTCTATATTCATGGTGAAAAGTTTAGTAGATTTCCTTTAATGTAACCCGAGATTAACCGTTTTTATTTAATTAACTGAGTATGTTAAATATTGTTTAGGTGATTTTACAAATGTTTCTTCTGAAACACTATGAAATGAAGCAGAGTATAAGAATAAAATAAAATTTAAAATACTTTTCCATCAATCCATTTTCTTTACTCTCTTTTCTCTGCATTTTCTTGAGTCGTAGTAGATGTATATTTAAAACATGCTACAAAACTGTTACTGTTTAATAAAATCTAGTTGGAGCTTTCTTGTGTCCAATTTGACTTCATGAGATTCTTCATAAAAAAATAGTTCTGTTAATTAAATAAATGAATAAATCATGAGATCTTTTTAAAATGGTTGTTTATGATGGTTTATCAAGTACTGCAGGACCTGCTTGTTGCTCAGATTAATCTGTAATAATATGAACAACATTGAAATCATCCATCCATACTTTTACCCGCTTCTTCCTTTTCGGGTCGCAGGGGTCATTGGTGCCCATGTCCAGCCATCACTGTGCGAGAGGCGGGGGACACCCTGGACAGGTCCAAGTCTATCACAGGGACACATAGAGACAAACAATCATTCAGTCTCTCACTCACACCTAGAGACAATTTAGAGTTACCAATCAGTCTAACATGCATGTTTTTAGTCTGTGGGAGGAAACCGGAGTAACCGGAGTAAACTCACGCATGCACGAAGGGAACATGCAAGCTCCACCCAGAAAGGCCCCCAAACGGGATTTGAACCGAGGCGACCTGCTCGCTGAGAGGCAGCTCTCGCAACTGCGCCACCGCGTCGCCGCCCCACATTGAAATCATTAAAATCAAAATGTCTTTTAGACCAGAGTGTTCAAAACATGTCTCCCTTAATAATATTACAATACTGGATATGTCCATCTTTGTTTCAACAGAAAATGCTTGTATGACTGCTGGAATTGAAATTTTACACAAATAGAGTAAACTCTCCTCGAGCTGAGTGAGTGCGTGAATGTGATATCTAAATGGTACTCCACCAAAGGTTTGTGTGGACTCGGGTCATTAAAAGTGCTGTTTGTCTACTGAGACAAGAGGACTAAGGTTTGAAGACCACCCACATGTGGGTTAACAGAGGCTGCACATGTGCTGGAAGAGGCACCCTGAAGGTTAGTGGTGGAGACGGTGAGTGATTCAAAAGCCCAGAGTCAGACAGGAGCCCTGAAATATGCCAGGAATTGTAGATATTTATTGTTTCGGGGCCACAGGAGCATTGCTGTGAGGAGGCCCAGTGTTTTCTAGCTGTGAGGGTTAAAGAAGAAACTACATTTAACTTTCACTCCTGTTGAACAGACTCAACAAAAAGGACAGAAATGCATTCATGAGAACATTGTAGTTTTTGTTTTCTCAGATGTGACTATAAGAAGTATTTTGTATTTCTCATTCTAGGCTGATAAACAACACATTAAAGAGCTTTTTTTTTTTTTTTTACGTTACATTGCCATTACAGGCAAACCATGTCATCTATTTAGTCTACTCCATAAACAAATATTTTAGATTTTCTCCAGTAAGGATCTTCACTTCCAAGTAGTTTGTTAAACCTCATCCATCCATCCATCCATTATCTTTACCCGCTTCTTCCAAATTTGGGTCACGGGGGTCGCCGGTGCCCATGTCCAGCAATCACTGTGCGAGGGGCGGGGTACACCCTGGACGGGTCTCCAGTCCATCACAGAGCCACATAGAGACAAACGAGACAAACAACCATTCACTCTCTCACTCACACCTAGGGACAATTTAGAGTTACCAATCAGCCTAACATGCATGTTTTTGGACTGTGGGAGGAAACTGGAGTACCCGGAGAAAACCTACGCATGCACGGAGAGAACATGCAAACTCCACCCAGAAAGGCCCCTGGACCGGGGTTTGAACCAAGGACCTGCTCACTGAGAGGCAGCAGCTCTACCAGTTGCGCCACCGTGCTGCCTTGTTAAACCTCAAATGTAGTAAAATTTAATATATATTAGGATAACAACAGAAAACAAAAAGATGGAGAAATTAATTAGCACCAGACGCCTTTACTGTTGGATGGCCTTTTAACGCTGCAAACATTTTGCAAATGAAAGTTTTGACAGAAAATAAAAACAGCCAGTGCCTGAAACAAGGGAGTTTAAAGTAACAATAATAATAATAATAAATACAAACAATAATAATTAATATTTAACCTTTAACCTGAGCTTTGCTGGCTCAGTTTCAGCTACATCCTTAAGAACTCTCCTTTAAAAAGACAGTTTATAAAATGGGTCTGTCCCAGTTAAACAATGGTCTAAAATATTTTCAAAATAAACCAAATATTCATGAGAACATATTATGTGTGTATTTTGTGCAACTCCTTGTAAAACCATAAAAAAGTTGCATTTCCATCATAAGAGATATAGTCATTATAATGACTTTTATAATTGTTAATATAACCTAATTCGACTTTTAAAGTAATAATTTACAGATACAGGAATACATAAATATAAAATATATGGCTTTGACTTTTTTAAACCACATCAATAAGACTTTGAAATTCATCATTATTGTTTTATGAGCAGATTATTAGCTCCCATAGCTGAAATCCATAAAGTCCCAGTGTTTACAAGTATATCATCACCTGAAGGCCTATGAAATGCATCAAGATTTAAAGAGTTTTCATAAATTGTACTTACTGGTAACTGATGTTCGTTCAGGAAAACTCTGCTTTTTCAAATTAAATCATAAAAAATGTGTCCACTAGAAGCCGCTGCGACCTGAACGCTTTAGCTACACTGTTGTCGGCGTTTTCTCTGTTGGGAGCCGGGATCCTCTGACGCTTGACTGAGCTACAAAAGATAGAGAAATGATCGTATTAGCCATGCGAATGTGAATATGAAACGTTCTAGATCAATTTGAGATGATCTGGAGCGAGAAGATACGTTGTTCTGGGCGAGGAGGTTCGTCCGGTTTGGATCTGTTAACTTTAGGTACAGAGCTAACGCTAAGCTAACGTTTAGCAACGCTAAGCTAACGCTGGCTGGCGAAATTAAATATTTTTCTGAGGAGTTACTTGTTTGACAAGCTGCATTGTTAGCTGCCATTTTTTTTTGTTTCGTATTTTTTAAATGGAGTGCCTTGCTGCAACGAGCTAAATGTATTTTTGTTACGTTACACTCCAGGCTAATTTGCTGCGGCTAGCTTGCTCGTATGCTAGCTGACGCTAGGTAACGTTGCCGGGTCAGACAGCAACTTCAGCGTCAGTTTCGGGGGGCTAGCCCGACTACCGTCGCTCCTCTGCCGCTAAAAAAATCTCCAAAGCGCCATCATGTTTGAAATGGAGACGCACATATCGTGCCTTTTCCCGGAAATCTTAGCCATTATTTTCAGTTACTTGGACGTTAAAGACAAAGGAAGAGTAGCCCAAGTGTGCGCGGCCTGGAGAGACGCGTCCTACCACAAGTCGGTGTGGAGGGGGGTGGAAGCCAAGCTCCATCTGCGGCGAGCCAACCCGTCTCTGTTCCCCAGTCTGCAGACCAGGGGGATCAAGAAAGTCCAGATCCTCAGCCTGAGGCGAAGCCTGAGCTACGTGATCCAAGGGATGCCGCACATAGAAAGCCTCAACTTGTGCGGGTGCTTCAACTTCACCGACATTGGACTGGGACATGCCTTTGTGCAGGACATCCCGTCCCTGCGGGTCCTGAACCTCAGCCTGTGTAAACAGATCACAGACTCCAGCCTGGGCCGGATCGCCCAGTACCTGAAGAACCTGGAGGTGCTGGAACTTGGGGGTTGCAGCAACATCACGAACACGGGCCTGTTGCTGGTGGCGTGGGGCTTGCACAGACTCAGGAGCCTCAACCTGCGCAGCTGCAGGCACGTGTCAGATGTGGGAATCGGTCACCTGTCCGGGATGACCCGGAGCGCTGCGGAGGGCTGCCTGTCTCTGGAGAAACTGACCCTGCAGGACTGCCAGAAGCTGACAGACCTGTCTCTCAAGCATGTCTCGAAGGGCCTAAACAAGCTCAAAGTGCTCAACCTCAGCTTCTGCGGGGGCATCTCGGATGCAGGGATGATCCACCTGTCCCAGATGAGCCAGCTGTGCAGCCTGAACCTACGCTCCTGTGACAACATCAGTGACACTGGGATAATGCACCTGGCTATGGGCTCCCTCCGCCTGTCTGGACTCGATGTCTCCTTCTGTGACAAGATCGGAGACCAGAGCCTGGCCTACATCGCCCAGGGGCTGTATCAGCTCAAATCTCTGTCTCTCTGCTCCTGCCACATCAGTGACGATGGCATCAACAGGATGGTGCGCCAAATGCACGAACTCAAGACTCTAAACATCGGACAGTGTGTTCGAATCACAGACAAAGGCTTGGAGCTGATAGCTGACCACTTGACCCAGTTGACAGGGATTGATCTGTATGGTTGTACTAAGATCACCAAGAGGGGTCTGGAGAGGATAACGCAGCTCCCGTGCCTTAAAGTGTTGAACCTTGGACTCTGGCAAATGACTGAGAGTGAAAAAGTGAGGTGACAGTTTCTCATAAACACATTTCGTCATCATGTACAGTGTGTTCTCAGGACTGTCGTGTCCAGTTTTAGTTCTAGCTTCTGTACCGAGACTAGAAGGGACCCACTGGAATATTGCTCTTGTTAAATCCCAGCTACCTCACTGTACAGAGTGCCTACTGTCGTTGAATACTGTATTAGATTGTATATTTTTGTGACACGTACCAGTATAGATTTAAGCATTTACATTCAAAACAGGAGTTCATTCGATTTAAAAGTTTAGATTATTTTAGTTTTGTGTGTATTAAATGACTGTTGCTGACAAAATTGTACTTCAAATTGAAGTGACTGCATCACTCCTGTCTCTGTTTACATTGTACAGACTTAAGACACCCTGAGAATTAATATCAGGTTCGACAGCTACAGTACAAATATGCAATACCTAAAACTGATCTTCACAATTTTTTCCCCCTTCTGAAGAGCTTTCAGTGATATTGCAGGAAGTTTTGTATAAGAAGGCAGTAATTTAAGATGTTTTATATTCCTACAATAGTGATATTTATGAATAAAGATTATAAATGGTTCAGCTTCGTCATTTTTATTTGCATCAATGTTTATCATTCATTATATTTGTTGCAGTTACATGAGTTTTCTTTAAAAAGCATTTAATAATAAGGGTCGAGTTAATTATCCAAGTCATTTAAATATGTTTGGGTAAAAAAAAAAAAAAAACACTTTACAAGAAAGCAAGGCTTTTAATTTATTTATTTACATACATAGAAAATTCAAATGACCAACACGTTTGTTTTGCTTTTAAACAGTTTGATTCTTGACAACAGACAGACGGCAGTACATTTTTAGTTTTTTTTTTTTATACAAACTCAAAAAGGCAGAAACGTACAGTAAAGACCGAGGCCCCTTGATCAGCTCTGTGCTCCCCAATAAAGAGTCAAGATAAAAAGAAGATGAGACATTAAGGCAGGGGACGGGACACAGGCCAAAGTAAAGGGGAATAAAACACTTTATGATCTTCTCTGAGGTCAGCTGTGAAGAAAAGACGCCTCAGCTTGATGGAAAAGCACAAAAACCAACTCGTCTTCCCACACCTGCCGTCTTTGGTTCTTACTCCGACACCCTTTAAATGTATCAATTTATGTGACGGGAGCAGTTTGAAAATGGTATTTTTAGATCTATACTAAAAATCATTTTAAGTTTACAACAGCAGGAGGGCCATAATAGTTGGAGACTTTTTAATCATCAGGCTAAAACGAAAACATCCCCATTTGATATAAATATGAATATAAAACAAGACCACCAGAAATAAATGCGAGTACTCGCCCATCACAGTCACTGTTTGAAACATTGTAATTTTGACACATTTATTCCCCCCCCCCCCCCCTCGGTTCTTGTTGAGAACACTCAATCGGTTCAGAGCGACTCGCTCTTCGAGATTCTGTGCAAACATTCAATGCATATTGATACAGTAAACTTTTCAATAGTATATCATATTTATAATATCTCCATAGAACATAGACTTTCTTGCAAGTTATGGCAGTACTGTCACGCACACACATTTTGTCCAAAAGACAAAATTAGACACTAATGACAACTGCTTTTAACTTCAGTATTATTTTTTAAAGAATGCACATCACCTTCCACATGATTACCTTTATTCAGTTACAGTATGTGTTAAATATGTTATTTACAAACTGATTTAAAAAGTCAAGATCTGCCAAAAAAAAGGTGACGTTCATTTTCTGTGAATGTCAATGCACTTAGTAATTAAGAACTCGAGCCCTGAATATAAAACAAAAATATCAACAAAAAGGCATTTGCTAATACAGAATTTTTTTCGTTGTCGTTGGGTGTCGGTAAATTGAACAAAAAAAAAAATAATAACTGGGGGCGTTAAGCAACTTTTCTAGAAACTTTGGATGAGGAGGAGTGAAATTCTTACATCATGCCATAGCACCAGGATTTCAGAGGAATAAAGATCCCTGCGTTAGGTCCAGGACTGATCTCTGCATGCTCCAAGGCCACGAGAACGATCTCAAATGAAACATTGCATACATCATGAACAAGTGGATGTTGTGTGCAAAACCATTTTGAAACAATACAATAAAAACACTATTAAATCCTCTCACCTGTTGAGAACATAACTAAGCTCTGATCTTTGATCAAAGTTTGAACCTCGACCCCCCCCCCAAGCCATTGACCCAGCTCCTGTTGATGCAGTGACGTACCTACAATCGAATCGTAGCTACTCTGAAATATTTCAGGAGTGTGTTGTGCTCGTCTGGTTAAAAGCTGTGTTTAGCTAGTGTTAACTTCTACACCCCACCTCTGAACTCAGCTCCTCCCTGCTCCCTTTGGATGTAGCAGCTCCCCAGAACTATCAAGACAAAAAAAGTGCTTTTCGGTCCCGTGGTCAGAATAAACGTACCAATTTTTCCACTGAAAGGTTTGAGAGGAAAATGAGAGGTTAAAAAAAAAAAAGGTCAAATGACGGTTTCTGCTCTGAATGAGACTGGAGGCAGACGAAAGGTAGACGGCCTCTTTCTCCCAAAGCACCTGGGAGAAAGTTTTTTTTTTTTTTAAGATACTGTAAACAAAAATCTAATCTACCTGATGCAATCAGTTGCATGCTTTAGCTCTTCCTCTCATTTTCTCTGAGCAACGTGGATGTTTTTTTTTCCAGCTCACATGAACACAAGAAAATGAAAAGCACTCGTGGTCCTGAAAGTTTGTTGCAGGGTGTCGAAGGGCGCAGAGAGGAGGGGTCAAACAGGACGAAATTCAAACGCCCCAGCAGTTTCTCCTCCTTTTAGTGGGAAGGTGGAGGTTTCTGGGCTCGGCCTGGTTGTGTCTTGAGGTCAGAGTTGTCAGCACGACTCCTCCAGGGCGTTGACAACCTGTTCCAGGATATCCGGGCAGTAGTCTGCAATCTGCTGGAGAACCGTGTTGGCGTACTCCTGCAGCTCCCCGCTCTCCTTCTCACACACCTCCAGCTCCCGCTCCAACTGGACGCAAAAACAAGGTTTAGCTGCTTTTTGACTGAAATCCAGTCCATTTCAAGCGTTGTTAAAGGCAGATTATCAAACAAAGTAGACGGGTGGAAGAATTAAAACTTCGGTTATTTTGTCTTTTTATAGCCAATTATAATTTACTTACCGTTTATCAGATGCTTAACTTATAATTTGGTCAAAATCTTGAGCAGTTGTCTTACTTTGTCAAATTAAATTTATATTTGCAGGTACTAAAGCAGCACGTGAAAGGGGACTTGATAAACAACAAACTAAAAGTAGTTGAAGTTTCTAAGCACCCAGTATAAAAACAGACGGCTTAAGGCAGTAATTTTATCATCATCTTTTGTTTTTCCCCTCGTTGTTTAGTGCAGATATCTCCATATTCATTTTATTTGTCAGAAATGCTCAGAAACTTGTTTAGTTATTTCTTATTCAAGTCATTTATCATTGTGGTGTGAAATATTTAATGCTATATTTAACTAAAGGCCCAGCAGTCTTTGAAGGAAATGCCCTTCACCCCAGAGTTTTACACTACAGTCAGGTTATGTTGAGAAATAAAAGTTGTAACCGTTTTGGTCAAAGTTTAAAAAATAAAATTTAATAATGTTATGCCATCTCATGTAATGTAGGAAAATGTCACGCTCAGAGTGTATGTTGTGAATGACTCAGCTACTACCACATCTAATTTTAACTTCATATTTGTACAACTGACGGAGTTAGAGCCATTTTTGAGTAGGCTAATGTGTAGCTGTGGTGGCCATCTTGAATAGGTTTGAAACCAAAAAGTTCATGAGCAGTTCATGAGACATTTTGCTAACAAAACAGATAAATGCACACACATACAGGCAAAAACATTTTCACTCCACCGTTGCCTTTCGGCAGCAGGCGGGCTTTGTCTAAATATAATCCTCAAATATAACTTAATAATTTTATAAAAGTACTATTTGCTTCATTAGGAAAGCTCTATTCATAAAAATGTCCAGTACACGCTGTAGAAATAAAAGAAGTGGATGTCAGTTTGTTTGTTACCTGTTCGACGCTCAATTTCTGAAGCTCCTCCTCCCAGTCTTCAGGGTCGCTGTGGTGATAGTGAGATGGTGGCGTGAGCTGGCTGAGGATGCTGGGGTCTCGGTCGTGGCAGAGGTCCGTCAGGTGGGCAATGTAGAGTTTGAGTTTGCTGCGGTTCTGGGACAAGGCTAGAAGAGGGGGTATCATCTGCAGAGTCGGGAGAGACACAAAGGTTGAAGAAAAACAAAGTTTCCTCAGGTTACACTCTGAAAGGTTAAATAATGGAAGAGCTCTGGTCCAGTTGGAACATCTGAACATGATGAAAACATCCCCAAAATCAACATTTACATGCACATCAATCACCATCTCCTTTTAGAGATCTGTATACAAATAGTTTGTTACATTTTTCAACATGTAAAAGAACAGCAGCTGTGCAGTCGGTGTAATTACCGGTAGTATCTGAAGTTAAGCGTTCATGTCAAAGTAGTGGCATGCAAAAGTAAGATGCTTCAGTTTACGTGCAAACAAAGAATACGAACACGATGAAATCCACAAATGTACTGCAGCGGTCAACGACATGAAAAACCACAAATGAATGCAGAATACGAAGCATGCGAGTGATAAATGTGACAGGCTGGGCTTTTGTCCCAAATACGAGAGCTCACCCTTCTGAACAAAATGGCTGTGAGAGAGGGGGAGGGCAAAGGGCCGGCTACGCCCAAATACCCTCCTCATCATCCTGTTAGCACGATGCAGCATTAGGAAGGAAACTGTGGTTAGTGGAAATCTTCCATTTATTTTAGGTCGCTTGAATTAATTTAACTTAGTTTTTTAATACAGAATTTTCAAGAAAGCTCTATATAAAAAAGGGGAAAAACTGTTGAAGCCATCTGGAAGTGTGGGTAACTGAAGTACCTGATCTGGAGAGGGTTTGTGATTCGTCTGGTCGGGCGCAGTCCGCAGATGGTCGTCTTCATAGTTGTCTGCCATCAGCTTCATTCTGTTTTGAGTCTGAAGATTCAAGACAGATGGAAGTTTAGAAGGCTGAGCCGTTCTTAATAACCTTACTGGTGTGTCCAGGTATAAATGTAAGTTTGTTCCATGCACAAATATTAACTGAACACAGTGAAGATTATTACATATATACATTTTTTATAGTACTTCTAGAAACTGGTGCATGTAGATTAGTACAGCTCTGAGCTACAGACAGAGACTTAAAATCAGGATATATATATGATTTCTAGGGATACACGATATTGGATTTATGGCTGATATCTGATATGACAATATGTTAAAACTTATTTGACCGATAACCAATAAAGATATTTTTTTTTTCCCCTAGACCTACGTACAGAGACTACATATCTTTCTCTGCTGTGGAATTAAAATACTACATTATTCTGCATGGTCTTTGTCAGTTTGGCCTGCTACCAAACGCAGATGCCAAAAAGGGGGTCTGAAAATGATGAGACACTTCAACTTGGATTATGTTTAATGTCAAATTTATTCATGACATAGGTAGGCGCACATGACATAACATGCTGGCGCTGCAGGCATCCTTGTCACTGGGTTGTCATACAAAAACAGCGCCTTTTATATCGGTGTTATTTTGATGGAATGGCCGATGTCCGATATTTAACTTTATTGCTAATATCGTCCGATACCGATATCATGCCGATAATATCGTGCATCCCTGATGATTTCGTACCCAGTCCTGATAATAGCACACACACACAATGTCTGCACAAATTTTATCTGAATGTTTGTCCAGAATTCCTCAGAGTGGCTCCGTATTATCCACAGAAATTTGTTTCTCTATGACAGTCCTACTCATGCTCCTCCTTGGCATGATAGACTCATGTTTATAATCCACATAAATATTCACCCCGTTTAAAGTAACTGTCCTAATTCAATTCAGAGAATAGATAAAAAAAAAAAAAGTCGGGATTGATAGGGATTCCAAAATCCTTAACATCCCGAGGAGTTCTTTTAAATCCAAAAATCAAGAAAAGGAAGAAACATGGGACGTGTGTAAATCTACCAAGAACAGGCACTCCTCACAAACTGAGATACATTACTCGTACATATATTTTTTTATTGCATTTACTTTATAGAAATCTGATTTCACTTTGACATTGAAAATTCTTTTTGTAAAAAAAAAAAAGGCCAATTTATATTGACCATGACTGATTTATACCAGATATTAAAGCATTAACCAGCTACGGGGTGGACAAGTTTTATAAGCACTGCAGTAGAAAGCAGACAAGCAAATTAACACAAAGAAAAATACCTTTGCTTTAGCAAGTCTGCGTGTGAAATACTTCCATACAAAGTACACAACAGGCTCCATCTTTGAGATTAAGGAAAATCTGGACGTTTGCATTTGTGGCAACCCTCCCTAAATAACTGTGGTTCCTACGGCTGAATATTAAACGTCTTTTCCCAACCTGCTGCTTGAGCTGCTGCACCAGCCTGTCTTTCTCTCGCTTCAGCTGAGTCACCTCCTCCTGAGTTTTCTTCTTCTTAGAAGACGACAGCTCCAGCAGAGCAATGTTGGCGTCCTTCTCGCTGATAGCGGCTAAAAGAGCCTCCTGCCTGTTCATTTGAGATGAAACAACATTAACCACACAAGCAAACAGCTCAAGTATCATTTATTATTTATGGCACAGCACCAGCTGGGGAAAGCCAGAATTGGATGACATTTTACAAGATTAAAAGGAGCAATCGATAATCTAAAGTCGATGCCACCTTGCTGCCCTGCTGTGTGTGAGTCTTACTTCATCTCCAGCACCTCCTCCAGGTGTTTTCTGCGCTCAGCTCTCAGTGTTGTGAGGTGGGCTTCTTTCTCACACAAAGACTGCTGGGTAGACGCCATCTTAGCCCTCATGGACTCCAGCTCCTGCTTCACCTTCTCCATAGCACCCAACAGCTCCTCCATCTGGGAACCAACACACACACACACACACACACACACACACACACACACACACACACACA